CCCATCACTGCACTTTGTGATCCCATCACTGCTATTTGTGATCCCATCACTGCTATTTGTGATCCCATCACTGCACTTTGTGATCCCATCTTTAAAAGCTATGTATTGTAACAGTTCGATTTAGTCTTATATGTTGAATTTATCTATGAATTTAACGTAGCAAAACGAACACAGTTTCCATTCATTTGACGAAACTGTGAATTTCCTTTCAGTTGTAAATCCTCTTCTTCAAATCTCGTTTAAAAATCAATATTCGAAAAAGCAAAGAATGCGAATTGTCTTGAATTCAGTATCTGAATATCCACGTTTCTTTCTTTCTCAGAAACGTATACGTTCATCGAGTTATTCATTCAGGGGAAAGTTTCGAGGCAGAGTAGATTTGTTTGTTTGTAATTAAACGCAAAGCTACACAATGGGTTATCTGTGTTCTGCCAAGCACGAGTATCGAAAATCGATTTCTAGTGGTATTAGTCCGTAGACATATCACTGTGCCACATGTACACACGCTGCTTCCACGACATTCTTGTTGAACTATCTCCTACCTGAAGAAGCTGAAGGATGAAAAGGGTATTCATAATATTCCAAACGAAGAGATACTGACAAAGTCATCAGATGCAATGCCTATAGATTTCTTTGCAATCGGACTGTTTAAGTGGAAGCTGAGAAACCATCGTCCTCGTACACTGGATGGCTTATGGAAAACATGCAGGTCCTAGGGGTGCTTTAAACATGACAGCTTTATAACAGAGCCTTTTGAAATGGAAAGTGCATTTAAGGACTATTGTCAAAATGCACGATCGTGAGATAGAGCATGACTAGACGTAGCGACATGGACTGTAATCATATGGCACCCCCTAGTGGCACAGCGGTATGTCTGCGGACTTACAACGCTAGAATCCGGGTTTCGATACTCGTGGTGGGCAGAGCACAGAAAGTCCATTATGTAGCTTTGTGCTTAATAACAAACAAACAAACAGTCATATGGCGAGGCTCCAAGATCATTTTACATATCACACCCAACCTCTGCATACCTAAAATAATTATGGATAGTTGTTCTATTAACATGCAACATTAGAAAGTGTATAAAATGAAGGCACAAGTGTTTATGCTGGTTTTACTAATACACTCGGAAGATAAGAATATGTTAGATTAATATGCTCAGAGGTTAATAGAGTGCTAAATGTTATAATATACTGAGAAGATAACAGTGTATTAGACTAATATGATCCTGATACTAGTTATAAGTTTCTATCTAGTAAGAACTAATTTTTATAAGAGCAAGAAGACGGAAAAATAGAACACAACTTGAGTAGTGTTTGGAGTAATTTTGATAAAATTTAGTTTTATAATAAGTAAAAAAAAGTGAAACTGTATAGCATTCTTCACGAAATACTAACATCCAGTTTACGAATCGATGAGACTGAATTCGGGGATTGGGTGAGCTACAGAAGGGCGTTTACGGTTTCCGTTATTCAAGCTAGAACCAAGTAAAATTTACCACAATAAAGGATTAGACCTTTAAACATCAAAAACACATTTTACTGCAAAAAACAAAACAAAAAAAAAACAAATAAAAAACAAACAAACAAAAAAAAACCCAAACTGTTAATAGTGTTCGGCCACGAAGATGTGGAGTTTAGGGGTGGGCCGGATCTGCTCCCCTTGCACAAAATAATAGAAGTGTTCATGTTCAGGCAGGTACTGCACTTAGCCAACTTAAAGCTGCAAGTAAACTTCGTTGAGCCATCCTCAGCCATTTATTTCTACATAACTCGCGAAATCCGCGGAGAAAACGGCTTTATAAATCTGAGGAACCATACATTGTATTGCGCCACATATGAGTTTATTACCGTGTTTGGTGTAGGATTTTGAATGGAGAAATGGTTTTACTCTCTTGTATCCTGGAGACTTATGCGAATTCAGCCATGTCGGTGTGATATTCATACTCTAGATATCGCGAGAGAATTTGTTTGGGAATCAATCTAACAAAAATATCATACTGATTCGCAGATTGTGTGTTAAAGAAAAAAACTGATAAAAGTGTTTTAATGTAGATTTAGAATATATATATATATTATTATTATTATTACTAGGAGTAACAAATTAATGTTAAAAATCGAGAAATAATAAATTCTTCATTGATATATACGGAGAAATACTAGTTGTTATAAAATTTCTTTTAAAAAATAAATAATTTCTTAATAAGCTCCCACATTTTAAAATATCAAAGACTGACTACGAAAAACGTTATCTTTCCTTCCATTAATACCACAATAATGTGACATTTGAATAAAATCAATTTATAATAAAACTTATGAATTTTGTATGGAAATCTATTCCTTAATTTCTAAATTCTTATATGGGTGAAGTTACACTTAAGACACGTGTATGTTTTTTTATATCCACCTGTAAAACCACAATGTTTTGGGTAAATCATATGTATGCGTAATAAATCTTTATATGTCGCCATTTGGTATTGAAAACTAAACTATTGAATTTGTATGAAAACTCTCCAAAGTTTTTTAAGCATAATAGCAAAAATACCAAAATATTTATCTATACAAGAGCAGAAAGCCTAGAAATTTTAAGGTCGAACAAGGCGTAATCGTTAGTATATCAGGCTTCGAATGCAGGGGTCAAAGATTCGAGCCACGATACCGTTGAGCACGCTCTATGTTTTCAGTTATGGTGACTTAAAGCCCTAAAAATACTCCGGAAACAGTTCTTTCAGTGGAGTGTTAGAGGACCTTATCATGGGGTAAATAATACTTCAGGACCTTACCATGAGGTAGATAATACTTCAAGACCTTATCATGGGGTAGATAATACCTCAGGACCTTACCATGAGGTAGATAATACTTCAAGACCTTATCATGGGGTAAATAATACTTCAGGACCTTACCATGAGGTAGATAATACTTCAAGACCTTATCATGGGGTAGATAATACCTCAGGACCTTATCGTGAGGTAAATAATATCTCAGGACCTTATCATGGGGTAGATAATACCTCAGGACCTTATCGTGAGGTAGATAATATTTCAGGACCTTACCATGAGATAGATAATACTTCAAGATCTTATCATGGGGTAGATAATACCTCAGGACCTTATCATGAGGTAGATAATATCTCAGGACCTTACCATGAGGTAGATAATACCTCAGGACCTTACCATGAGGTAGATAATACCTCAGGACCTTACCATGAGATATATAATACCTCAGGACCTTATCATGAGGTAGGTAATATCTCAGGACCTTATCGTGAGGTAGATAATATCTCAGGACTTTACCATGAGGTAGATAATACCTCAGGACCTTACCATAGGGTAGATGATACCTCAGGACCTTACCATGAGGTAGATAATACCTCAGGACCTTATCGTGAGGTAGATAATATCTCAGGACCTTACCATGAGGTAGATAATACCTCAGGACCTTATCGTGAGGTAGATAATATTTCAGGACCTTACCATGAGGTAGATAATACTTCAAGACCTTATCATGGGGCAGGTAATACCTCAGGACCTTATCGTGAGGTAGATAATATCTCAGGACCTTATCATCGGGGTTGATAATACCTCAGGACCTTATCAACTCTCTGAACTATAAAGATATAAAGGTTACTTCTAAGACCAATAATTTGTAGATCAGACTACATGACATATTATCACAGTCTGACTTAAGACCAATAGTATGTATCTTAAACAACATGACAGATTATCACATGTCTGGTTTAAGACCAGTAATTTGTATTTTATACCACATATTATCACATGTCTGGTTTAAGACCAATAATTTGTATTTCAGACCACATGACAGATTATCATATGTCTGATTTAAGACCAGTAATTTGTATTTTAGACCACATATTATCTATCACATATTTTATTTATATAAATATGAATGAGCAGAGCGACTGACAGCATTTTATGACATTTATGTTGCCTTGTTATGGTTAAATTATTGTAAGTCTCTATAGTGCTAAAATTACT